AGTTAGTCACCCATTCATACGATGAGCTATGATGTAGCCACAGCTGCCCTGGGGTGCAGGCGGCGGGGGGGTACATGTCTTTCCCAAGGACGGACACAACAGCAGCATTCCCTGGTCAGAGCCGGGATCGAACCTGGAACCTTCCGATGACTGGACAACCTGCTCCACCTCCTGAGCTGCTGCTGTCCAGATAACATCAATAAGAGCCGCGTTTTATTATATCCACAAACAGCAGGGATGCAAAGAAACCTTTCCAGCAAGAAAATAGCTTCAGTCACACAATTTTCCAGTTCTGGAAGCTCCTCAAAGACTCTTCGGAAAGATTCAAAGAGGGGACGCCTCTGTCATGTTCCTGGGCAGAGGTGAGTCACACCTTCTCCTCTCACCAGACTCTGAGCTAATTCTCCACAGGTGAGGAGCAGGGGGAGCGGCAGCTGCAGGAGATTTCCCAATCAGGGACGCGGGTTCAAAAGGAGGATGGAGACACATCACTTTGCCGGATGATTGCACCAGTTTAGGTAGCACCAGCCACTCGACTCTGAACTTTGATCTTGTTAATTCGTGTTTTGACTCGCCTTCGACTAGTGGATTTATGACCTTGGATTGTATTTTGGATTTGGAATTGGATTATCCCTTACGCCTGTTTTTGTCTCGCTCAGGATCATCTCATCATCTACTCACCCTCGCTGTCTTCGTTTTCTGGAACATACTCATCACGTCCCATCCTCCTCCGCCGTTCCTGTTTGGCTTTCCCTCTGCTAACTCACCCCTCCTGGATCTCTCATCCTCTGCCCAGCGTCCTCCCCGGCTTCCCCTCCTCTACTGATTAACCTGAGCACCTCAGAGACTCGAGCCGTATTGCTCATCCCACAGGACTTCCCTGTGCGGTTTCAGTTCCCGTTTTTATAATAAAGACATTTTACTTTACTGCTTTGGACTACGTGTGCTGATTCTGCATGTCTTGGGTTAGACACTTACCTCGAGCCATGACAGAATCATCCGGCCACACATCTAATCCAGCGGAGTCAGCACTCGCGGATCTGGCTACCCGGATGTCTCAACAAGAGCAGACACTTCCCGTCCTCATGGAGCAGCTGAATATCACCAACCAACGTTATCAACGTTTGGAGACCGTCCTGCAGCAGCTTCAGGAGCAGCTCTCCTCTACAGCCTCGGGTTCCGTCCCCGCTCCAGCGACAGCCGCCGCTCCGGCGTTCGGAACAGAACCACACGCACACGCCTCGGGAGGTGTGGTTTCACCTGGACCGGAGGCGCTCGGCTCTCCGGAAATCACCCACTTCCGTTCGGCTCCTCCTCGGCAATGTCCGACCTTCTCCGGTGAATTCGAGGATTGCTTTGGGTTTCTGCTACAGTGCCGCCTAGCGTTTGAAGACTCCCCGAGGTCTTTTCCTACTGACTCAATGAAGATCTCGTTTATTGTTGGACTACTTAGAGGCAAGGCGCTTCGGTGGGCGGAGGCTAAGAGCAGAAATCCTAATTTCCTGTCTGGTTCTTACCCAGACTTTCTGGAGGATTTTAAACTGACTTTTTGCAGTTCAGAGACCACCACTGACATCAGAAAAAGACTGTTGCACCTCTCGCAGGGAAGAAGGTCAGTGGCTGACATGTCTCTGGAGTTTAGGACCTTGGCTGCAATGACATCATGGGGAGACGATGCCCTTAAAGCAGCATTCATCGAAGCGCTGAACGATCGGGTAAGGAACCAGCTGGCTCTGTGCCCCGAGCCATCAACCCTGGACGGACTGATCTCATTATGCATCTCTATCGACAAGAGACACAGGGAGCTTCAGAAGACACCATTCAGGGATCTGTCACCACCTGTAGCACATCGTCCATCCCATAGGTCTCCTCCTCTGGACTCACCCGAGGAGCCCATGCAGGTGGGACGTACCCACCTTACTCCAGAGGAGCGCCAACATCGTTACAGTAAAGGGTTGTGCCTTTACTGTGGAAAACCAGGACACATGGTGCACACTTGCCCTGCGGCGTCAAAAGGGCGTGCCCACCAGTAGTTCCGGGAGTTCTGGTGGGCAGTCATTCAGGTAAAGAGACCTCCCGTTTTCTTATTGACTGTGCTTTGACTGTTAACAGTCGTCGCCACCGGACGACTGCTCTAGTAGACTCAGGATGTGAACAGTCTTTGGTGGACCCTCAACTGGTGCGGGATTGGGGACTGTCTACTGTTCCACTGCCGGAACCTTTAACAGTGTCCTCCCTGGATGGGAGGCCCCTGGCCACAATCACCCACCGGACCCAACCACTCCAGCTCCAGGTCTCAGGTAACCACACGGAGATGATCTCATTATTTGTGTTTCCCTCCCTGCAGAACCAAGTAGTTCTAGGCCATTCCTGGCATAGGGTACACAACCCGTGTTTGGACTGGAGATCAAGCCGTGTGGAGACCTGGAGTCCGGAGTGTCATCTTACCTGCCTGACCTCTGCTTCCTCTGGATCCAAGGACTCTGAAAAGACTCTTGTGGAGCCGCCCGATCTCACCCAGGTACCAAGTGAGTACCATGACTTGCAGCAAGTGTTCAGTAGAGATCAAGCAGCCACATTGCCACCTCACCGTCCATTTGACATTGGAATAGACCTGTTGCCAGGAGCTCCGCTCCCAACCAGCCGCCTCTACAGTCTGTCCAAACCTGAACAGGACAGTATGAGGAAATACATTACAGAGGCCCTGGCCAATGGCATAATCAGGCCATCCACCTTCCCTCTGGGAGCTGGGTTTTTCTTCGTGGCCAAGAAGGACGGGTCGCTTCGCCCTTGTATTGATTACAGGGGTTTAAATCAAATAACGGTGAAGGACAAGTACCCACTCCCTCTACTCTCATCAACCTTTGAACCTGTGCAAGATGCCACTGTTTTTACGCGGTTGGATCTCCGCAATGCATATCACCTGGTCAGAGTCCGCCAAGGTGACGAATGGAAGACAGCTTTTAAGACACCCCTGGGGCACTTTGAATATTTGGTGATGCCCTTTGGCCTCACTAATGCTCCAGCGGTGTTTCAGAGACTCGTGAACTCAGTGTTGGGGGACTACATTAATGACTTTGTATCTGTATATCTTGATGATATTTTGATTTTTTCTAGGTCCATTGATCAACACCAGAAACATGTTCGGATGGTACTCCAACGGCTGTTGGAGAACAGACTATTTGTAAAAGCCGAGAAATGTGAATTTCATGTTTCAGTAGTTAAGTTTCTTGGTTTTGTTTTAGAAAGTGGACGGCTGAGGGCGGACCCAGACAAGGTCCAAGCAGTGACTGAGTGGCCTACCCCTGCCACCAGGAAACAACTGCAGCGGTTTCTTGGCTTTGCAAACTTTTACAGACGGTTTATCCGCAATTACAGCCAGACCGCAGCCCCTCTGACAGCTCTAACCTCTGTTGTTAAGCCCTTTTCCTGGTCTCCAGAAGCCGAAGCTGCATTTAGGACTCTGAAGAGGAGGTTCACCGAGGCCCCAGTCCTCTCCAGACCAGACCCCAAGCAGCAGTTCACTGTGGAGGTGGACGCCTCTGACACCGGGGTTGGCGCAGTCCTCTCTCAGGTATCCCCAGAAGACCACAAACTTCATCCGTGTGCCTTCTTCTCACGGCGCTTGACACCCACCGAGAGCAGGTATGACGTGGGGGACAGGGAGTTACTGGCAGTAAAACTGGCTTTGGAGGAGTGGAGACATTGGCTGGAGGGGGCTGAACTACCATTTATCATTTGGACTGATCATAAAAACCTGATCTATCTCAAGGAGGCAAAGAGACTGAACCCTCGACAGTATAGGTGGTCTTTGTTCTTCTCCCGCTTTAACTTTGTTTTGTCCTATAGACCAGGATCAAAGAACACAAAGCCTGACGCTCTGTCTCGCCAGCACTCCTCTGAAGATGAGACGGCTCCTAGCACCATCTTGCCTGCCTCCTGCATCGTTGCTGGAGTAACATGGCCCATAAGAGACCAGGTCCTGGAGGGCCTTAAGGTGGATCCTGGCCCAGGTAACGGACCCTCCAACAGACTGTTTGTTCCCCAGGCACTACGAGGAAAGGTTATTCACTGGGCTCACACCGGGAGGTTCTCAATCCACCCTGGAGTAGGACGTACTGTTGCTCTGATCAGGCGATCTTTCTGGTGGCCCTCCCTCTACAGAGACGTGAAGGAGTATGTGTCGGCCTGCCACGTCTGTGCCCAACAAAAAGGTACCAATCAGTCTCCAGCAGGCCTACTCTGTTCCCTACCAGTGCCGTCCCGTCCTTGGTCCCATATTGCCTTGGACTTTGTTTGTGGGTTGCCACCTTCGCATGGTTTTAGTGTCATTTTAACTGTTGTCGACAGGTTCTCCAAAGCCTGTCATCTAGTGCCGTTAAAGGCTCTCCCTACATCTGCCGTCACGGCCCAGCTTTTAATTAAACATGTCTTTCGTCTGCATGGGATCCCAACAGAGATCCTCTCTGACCGAGGCCCCCAGTTCGTGTCTCGTGTCTGGAGGGAGTTTGCCACCGCCTTGGGAGCCCAGGTGGCTCTGACCTCGGGGTTTCATCCGCAGACCAATGGACAATGCGAGCGGATGAACCAAGAGTTGGGTGCCATGCTTCGCTGCGTCTGCGCCACCAACCCATCCACCTGGAGTGAGCATTTGGCTTGGGTCGAATATGCCCATAATAGCCATGTCTCCTCCGCCACAGGTCAGTCTCCCTTCGAGTCCTCCCTCGGATATCAGCCCTCTCTGTTCCCCCTTCATACAGATGCCACCATCACCACTCCTCAGTTCCTTCGTCGGGCCCGCCGCACTTGGATCACCACGAGGTCGGCTCTTCAGCGGACCGCGGAAAGGAATCAGCGACTGGCTGACCGACACCGTCATCCTGCTCCCACCTACTCTCCCGGTCAAATGGTCTGGTTGTCGTCCAAGGATGTCCCGCTGAAGGCGACCACCAGGAAGTTCTCTCCTAGGTTCCTTGGTCCCTTCAAGGTCACGGCGGTCCCTAGTCCGACGACCGTGCGGTTGGAACTCCCGTCGTCTCTTCAGATCCATCCTGTGTTCCATGTCTCCCTGATCAAACCCGTCGTTTCCAGCCCTCTGTGCCCGGTTCCGGCTCCGCCTCCTCCTGCTCAGCTCTACAAAGGGGGGCTGGTATACAAGGTGCGGCGCATCCTCGACTCTCGCCCCCGTGGTCGGGGTCTTCAATATTTGGTGGACTGGGAGGGGTACGGCCCGGAGGAACGCTCCTGGATTCCCCGGTCCAACATCGAGGACCCCTCTCTCATCTCGGACTTCGAGGCCTCCAGATCCGGTGCTAGGACGCCGGGGGGCGTCCGTTGAGGGGGGGGCACTGTCATGTTCCTGGGCAGAGGTGAGTCACACCTTCTCCTCTCACCAGACTCTGAGCTAATTCTCCACAGGTGAGGAGCAGGGGGAGCGGCAGCTGCAGGAGATTTCCCAATCAGGGACGCGGGTTCAAAAGGAGGATGGAGACACATCACTTTGCCGGATGATTGCACCAGTTTAGGTAGCACCAGCCACTCGACTCTGAACTTTGATCTTGTTAATTCGTGTTTTGACTCGCCTTCGACTAGTGGATTTATGACCTTGGATTGTATTTTGGATTTGGAATTGGATTATCCCTTACGCCTGTTTTTGTCTCGCTCAGGATCATCTCATCATCTACTCACCCTCGCTGTCTTCGTTTTCTGGAACATACTCATCACGTCCCATCCTCCTCCGCCGTTCCTGTTTGGCTTTCCCTCTGCTACCTCACCCCTCCTGGATCTCTCATCCTCTGCCCAGCGTCCTCCCCGGCTTCCCCTCCTCTACTGATTAACCTGAGCACCTCAGAGACTCGAGCCGTATTGCTCATCCCACAGGACTTCCCTGTGCGGTTTCAGTTCCCGTTTTTATAATAAAGACATTTTACTTTACTGCTTTGGACTACGTGTGCTGATTCTGCATGTCTTGGGTTAGACACTTACCTCGAGCCATGACAGCCTCGTCCTGCTTTCACGTGCTGCAGAAGAGAAAAGGACGGGTTGTTTCCATCAGCAGTGTGTGAGTCTAACTTCCCTATGCATGTGCACAGCACGTGCTTGCTTTTGCACGAGTGTGCATGAGTGTGTAAGAACAGAGATCCCTATTAAAATGTCACTGATTCCTAAGTTAAAAACACAAACCTGATCCTGCTCTTGGGGAAGGAGCGATGTGAACTGTTTGTGTGTTGAGCTGCACACCTACACAGCTACAGATGTGGGAAAAGGACACACCTGCTCGGAGCTGCGTGCCGTGCACATACCTGTAGGTGTGTGCACGGCATGTTCACAACGCACATGGAAACCACCCTTTGTGTTACTGAGCGCCTGTATCCCCTCTTGTTTGGTCTTTTTCTCTTTTTCCCCCAATCTCCCATCCTTTCACCTCACCCCTATTTAATTAAAGCATGCAGTAAGTGTGAAATTAACTCTCTCCTGCACCAGGCCTGACAGCTCTGAGTGGGAGGAGGGAAAATCAGACGCCTTTGTCTCCACACATAATTAGAGAGATGGAGAGAACGAGATGGGAGGACGGAGAAAGGAAGAGGGCCAGTTGGTCCACCACCAGTGAGACAGGGGAGATAAAAGAACGGCAGGAAGAAGAGAGAGATAAGAATACAAAGTGTGAAGGGAAGATGATGAAGTGAGATGGAGAGGAGGATCAAGGCGAGAAGAGATTCTTGGGATAAGAAGGGTTGTAGGGTTAGAGAAGGGGAAAGGCAGGAAGAACGAAGGCATGTGGGGGAATGTGGTGCAGTCATTACCACCTGTAAAAAAAAGCTCATGCCTGAGGATAATTCCACAATCTGCAGTCGCACGGCTCCGCTCCCGGAATGACAAGGAAGGAAGCCACATGGAAGAAGAGAGAGGCAGCAGAGCACCACCGGTCCTGATAGATGGTACAGTTTGAGGAAGGAGAGCGGCAGGGATTCTTATGAGTTTAAGAATTGATGAAGACAAAATGGGCCTGGGTAGCAGGGGTAATAACTTCTGGGACTTTGAGACGCTCCTTATGGGACATGTCCCCTGCTCCGTCCACCTCTGAAAGCCTGTTTCCAGACTGCCCCGCTCTCCGGGGAGAAGCGTTCAAAGTGCTGCAGGGGGAGCTCCTCTAATCTGACTTCATGATTTTAGCTTTAAGCTCAAACAACGTCAAGACATTTTCCACAGCTCGGCCTGTCGTCCACGCCAGAGCGAAGCTATGCGTCTCCAGGAACGCCTTTCAGGAACTCCTACCAAGGTGGACACCTACAAAGTCTTCATTGGCCTTTGTTTGTGGACGTGAATAACCGGGGTTCAGGTTTCGTGACATCACTGCGCGTGACAAAAATGCCCTGACATCACATGTGTGACCTGCATCCATATAGGTGGCTCCACTGAGATCATATATGGGCAAACAGTGGGTCCCAACTGGTTTTGTCACCTCCATCATCGGTCCCAGGGCAGCTGTGGCTACAACGTAGCTCATCACCACCTGTGTGTGAATGGATGACTGATTCCCTTTAGTGCTTTGGAGTCCTCCAGCTCAGAAAGGCACTTCCCAAGTGCAGGTCATCCTCAGTTATCACATCAGAGTAGATCAGAAGAGCTGATGCTAGTACGCTGAAGGAAGGGACGATGACAGAAGAACCAGTTTTATGGGTTTATGTATAAAAAACAAAAAACAAAAGTAAAGGCAGACAGGAACAGTCAGCACTGTTGAAGTTACGCAACACAAGATAAATGTCAGAGGGTTCACCTCCTTTCCTCCCAGACGAGTCCCAAATCCGTCCCGTAAACTCGGGTTTGCACTGAATCACTTTCGGTGGACTTCACAAACAGGTGATTCACTCTTTTTTGGCTCATGGTGGATTTCTATATTTAACTAGACCCAGTTCTGAAAGAGATGGCTCCCCGCTGGTTTTAGTTACAGTCATGAGTAGTTGGAGCTGTTTGCCAAACACCTGGAAACTCCCTGTTGCTTCGTTCCCCCTGAACGCCCATGTTCTCACTGGCCTCAATGGCTTTATTCTTCCGTTAAGAGTTGGTCTAACTAATTCAGCTCACCTCCATGAAAAATGATTCAAGCTGCAACAGCAAATTTGGAGAACAAATTAGCTTAAAACATCTTTTTCATGCCTCTTAACAACATTCTAACTATAAATATGTGGAGATAGAAATGAAAATGAAAAAAAAAGTAGTTCTCTAACTTTAGTCTAAAATCCTCCAACAAAAGCTCGACTCACACAGGAAGCAACCATAGGCCATCCGGGTGTTGGCCCCGCCAAAACGCCACACTTCCCTGGGTCCTCAATTCATTACACTCTTGTGTATTTAGGGCTCTGTCACTTTAAGAAAACAAGCTGGAACTGGCCATGCCCACTCAGCCCCCCCCCCACACACACACACACACACACACACACACACACACACAACCACCACTCGGGCTGCTATTAGCTGAGAAGCTCCAATATCTGGGAGGGGTTCTGAGTAGAGCCCCTGCTTTTCCAGCAGCAGCTCTTTCTTGAACATATTCCAATTTCCCCATTTGTGACATCACAAACGTCACAAATTGGGAGGATATGTCCACTTTAACCATAAGACTTGATGTGCATACAAAAGCTGGAGTGTGATGCAAATGGGGACAAAATCAAATTTCTCACCAAACCGTCCTTTTTGGAGATTTTGTGATGAGAGATAAAAATAGTCTCAGCCAATTGAAAAGAAGGACTGTGTCTGCAGAGTGATGAACACTTCAGCCCCCTGCTGCACAATCTCAACTGAAAACTGTTTGACTCTTCACCGTTTTCCGGTTTTCATCAACAACAGACAATTCCAGACCCCGCTCACGCTCTCGTGGATGTTTTCCTTAACAAAAACGTCCTGCCATGTGAATGAAGATGGCAAGATGAAGGCAGCACACGGTCACCACTGCGTCCAGGATGTGGTTGTTGTGTCTGAATCTGTTCCGTTGCCCTAAATACACCAGATATGTGCAGCTGATCCAGCAACACAACGACAGAATAGGGACACGTGTGTTTAGGTCACACACACAAAGTGTTTTGCCAATCTTTCTCCACGAGCTGCAGGGACGAAAAGCAGGGAGAAAGAGAAGATGTCAACGGTGATCCCGAGAGGATATCTCACCCCCGAGGGCATCTTCCCCTGCGGCTAGAGAGAGACACCTTCACACTGCTGTGTCAGTGGAGTAGCACAATCAACAAGCAGCTCAGCTATTCAGCACCGGATCTGCTGCCTAAAGACCGGAGCATGATAGACCTGAAGGTTACCGACGTCTGTAAACACTACACACCTGCAACGAGCACCAGAAGAGACCTGCTTTTGTTTTCACTCACTAAGTTAGAAAAACAAACAGACACTTGGTTTGCACATTTTTCACTATTTCATCATAATTTCAATGTGCAAAACGTCTCATTTGCAGCCATTGTTCTTTACGGACAAAAGCTGGAATACTCTTCGCTTTAAGCGAAGGAATTTAGGAGGGAGCAAGCTTGGACCGCAGCGATGAGGACATCGTCCCAGTCTGTCCCGGTGAAGAAGGGCCAAGGTGATGAGATGCAAGAATAAGGTAAACGTGGCTGAAACGAGCAGACTCTGCAGACTGCCCCGGCTCAGCTGAGGTGGTTCCTCCTGGCCACCTTTCTTTGGCGGTTCCCCATGCTCGACCCACCAGAGACAGGAGACATGTAGGGGACTGGATATGAGTTTGATGACGGTGTCGGTACAGGATCTGCTCGAGTGCGAGATCGGCTCGGGGTCCTTCGACTGCGGATGACGTCAAAGTAGTTGAGTGACTGAACATGAACCTTACGGAAGTTACATAATCACGTTACGTTGTTATCACGTTACGTTGGTCCAGGCAAATCTTTCTGTTGGAAAGACGGACAACTTTTACAAAGAAATCCATCATTACCTCTTTGAAAATACACTTTTAGCATAGAGCTGCATGTATATTAGGGCTGAACGATTAACTGCATGTGCAATTAAACTGCGATGTGACAAAAGGAGATTTTCTAATCGCAAAGGCTGCAATTTGGCAGCGAGTGGTTAGCGCAATGCTAATATACATGGATAAACCCATAGGAATGCTAATGCTAATATCACCGATTACATTGTTACAAATTATGAATTAGAAACGTGCCAAATGATTACATTTGGAGTCTAATAGAAAGTAAAACTACCATCAATCAAATAAGTACAGACAGGTATTTTAGTAAAGCCAGAAAACTTTTAACTCCAGAGCTTTGGCTAGCAGCTATGAGCGTACCTGAACTACGCATGGACAAGACGTCAAAAACTCTAAACACAAAATACTTCAATAAACGGGACACACTTCTTTCCTGCAAATACAATTTCACAGGTGTTGCTAATACCTATGATCCTTCAAGGGATGTGCTCAAAGAGGAGTTCAACATTATGAATAAAATATAGTGTTTTATTTTACAAATACCATTATAAACACAAACTTGTGTCGTAAGAAACATTATTTTAATAACGAAACTGCTAAATTCTTTCCAACAGTATAAAGATGTGTAGTGTATTTTGTCCGAGTGGGTTTGCCGTACTTTGACGTCATCGGCAGTCGAAGGACCCCGAGCCGATCTTGCACCCGAGCAGATCCTGTACCGACACCGGTACTGATCCTGACCAGAAACGGTTTGATGCTCAGTGGGTTACATTACCCAGCAACACATAATATTTGAAGTTTTTCAACCATCCTAACAGATTTGAGTAGGTTTTGTAGTATTTGTAGGGCATTCATCCAGTTTAGTCACATGTTCATCAGATATCAAGGTGTTCATTAATCTTACCTGCAGTTTTCAACATGTTTTCATAATAAAAACAGAACTGACTATAGATGACCTCGATGCTTCGACAGTAAAAGGACAGCTTTC